TCGCTGACGTTTAGCCATTTTCACTGCTATCAGCGGTGTTTCATATACTGGTACCGGTCGACTCAGGGTTATCAACGGAACTGATAAGTGGCCCAAAAAAGGCAGACACCAATAGGATAATTTCAAAATGTCTCCCAAGCGCTGAAAAAATGTAACTGCTGCTACGCTCACTGATCATATGGTAATCATATAATTCCATCTTATATTAATGTGTTTAAGATGTTAAAAATAGTGGTTTTGATCTCAAAATCCAAGTGGTAACATGATGACACCTTAAATAGCGCTTGTGAAAACAGAATAAGAGGATTTTAGTAGCTTATAATAAGGGGTAATACTCGTATAGACTACCTCGTTTAGACCTCGAGCTGGGAGCTTTTGATTCCATCGTGATCACTGAACATAGCATTTTCCGCTGAAGAATCAGAAGAACGGTTTCAAACCGAGAGCAAGTAGTCATTGCAGGCGATCGCCGACATTAGAAGGTGGTTTTCCAGCGAACCACTATGTTTAGTTCAAGGCGGTTTCGATTCCTGGCAAAAAGATTTAAGCCCAACTGGTGATTCAGATGAATGCGTTAACATCGCACCTTTGTGGCCCTGAAGAGAAATAATATGTATGATTACTGTGTAAACGCTGGCTTTTTGAAGCTCGGGAAAAGTGTCCGTGGAATATGTGACACCAAAAAGTGATACGGTATTCACCAAGAATAATTCGTGTAGAAGTCCTGACAATGTAAAAAAAAACCACGCATTCTGACATGAACTGAAAAAGGTGGAAAAGGTTGTTAATAAACAAGATATTCAGATTATTGTTGCCCACATGTGACCAACGATCTCAAGCCACATACAGATGCTCCGTTTTTTCTTCAATATTAACTAGCGTGCCGTAAAGGCAAAAAGCGGCCAGGTATCCCTCACTTAACGGGTTTGTAATTGATCTCTTATGAGTCTTTGTTTTCGTCATCTTTAAATTCTTGTTTTGCGAACAAAATGAATGTTGTCGTTGATGTTGAGAATGTTTGCTATAACAGTTAGTCAACATCAACTCTACAGTATTTACAAGACGTCGGACATGCACGACCTGACACCACGTATTTTTTTCAGCGCTTGAACGACCAGCGATGAACGGCGTGAATTCGACGAAAAACAGCTCTGAGCCACGCCACTCACATTTGTCACCGATGTCGCCATCAGCCGGAGCTAAACATTGCACAAAAACCAGGAAGCAAATGGTTTTGGTGTATAGGAGGCGAGAACGAGGATTTCGTGATTCGTTCTGAGAGTTCGGCGGAGGAGGTTTCTTTTTTCCTCAGATGAAAGCCGCCACAAGCTGGGTAAACAAATTCAGAGTTTACCAGCAACATCAGAGTCATGACGGCGCTTATCCAGTTGCATTAGCTGACAGCATCACTTCTACTTACTTCGACTGCGACCTCATTATTTGATGATCAACTCATCTACTTTATTGAACTAATACGCTGCTTATATCTCCATAGAGTTAAACAGTTCAATAACAGGCAGAGTAACTGATGGAACAACCTAGAAGTGAGCTCGAACTCCCATAAGAATCTGCTCAAAACGAGCTCAGATGATTAGGAATCAAAAGTTCCTTCCTAGTCATCCATTCTAAAATCCACTTCTGTAAGACATCCCTCTTTCAATCTGGGCTCTTTTTCTTTTCCTCATTTTATGAGTGATCACACCACATCTTTCAAAACAAACAAACGGGTTTCTTATATCTTTTTCACTCTACCAAATCGTTTACTATTTAGATTTTCATGCAAATTCAGTACATCGCCTTTTTCCCTTTATTTTTCTCAGTGTCAAACCAATGTGTGTGTGTGAAACATACATATGATGAAACATAAGGCCCACTACACACATGCAATTTTAATTTTTTCAGCTTTATCCTGATGTTGGCGGACTAAAAGCTCAATTCCTAACTTTCCAGGAGATTAGTTTGCTGCCAATTCACTAACCGTGATGTAGAGGTTTAGCTAACTTGAGTGATGGATGGGCCCACAACAGTGTTCTGCGGAGTGATCCTTATTTGGACTGCTCTTTTCAATAGAACGGCCTGAGGAATAATAAAATCACTAAGAAGATCAAGTTTAGAAACCTGTAGAAATCACTAGGAAGTGGAGAATAGGTTTCCTTCCAAAAGTTTAACACTTTTTCGTTTCCATAATTCTGTGATTGTTTTCAATTATTCCCTCCGTACTTTCACCAATGGAAAGCTCAGTGAAGGAATTTTTCATTTTTTTCAAACACCGTAAGCAATTTTCTCAATCATATATAAACATAGAGGCGCGTGTGGCGCAGTGGTTGAAGGCGCCACTGCGGCACACACGTGGAATCGATCACCGCGTCCATAGCTCACCAAGCTTTCCATCCCTCCGGACTGGGCAACTTTGGTACCAGACTTATCTGGGAGGATAGGGGCACTCGCCCGATACATCGGTAGGCCACCATGAGTCATTGTAGAGGCGAGACATGCATTCGATCACCTCCAACGATGCTTAATGGAGTCGAATGCATGGCGCATTCCTCAGGGATTGGTCAATTCTTAGAGCTTTATCCTTTATTTTATTTATATAAACATAAAGGCTAAAAGGGATCGATTCCCTTGCCCGTGGCCCACCGAACTTTCCATCCCTACGCGGTCGGCATAGAGGCACCAGTATGAGTCTACATATGGGTCAAATAAGTTACTGGATAGGTGTTCTATGAGATTTCTCCCACCCCCGTGTGACCTATGAGATTTTTTTCAGTTTATGTGTGGCCTATGGAATACTACCTGAAAATTCCAATGACACCGCTCCGTGGTTGTCCTCCTAGATGTTTCAAAGAAAGATTGACTTATTTTCTTGTTAGTAATCACCGCTCAGCGATTGCAGCTATCACAATCGGGCAAAGACGAATCATGGCTTCAGTGTGTGTCGGCTTATCTTCAGTGCCAGCCAGGTTCTACGCTTCTGTACTTGTCGCGAGTATGTACTTTTATCGGGAATGCAGAAGTCAGCGAAATCTTCTGGAAGTCACACAATGTTACAGTCACCCATCACATTCACATGGAAAATTCCATGCTATCAAGCAGCAAAGTGTCTCCTTCGACTGTTTTCACTTAGCACCTAAAAGTGATCTTCGAGTAGCTTCATTTGAAATACAGTAACTATGAATGAATGCTTCAAAATTAGTACAGATTTTTAACTACGTATGTCTAAATGTTAATCTATTGTTGACCTTGATATTTTCTCCCGAATAAAGGTTTTCAGGTTTTCTAGCCATAAAAAATATCGACCGAATGCTTTTCAAACCCTTTCCGTCCTGCTGGCGTTTTTCATGGCTTGCCCAATCGAAAACGAGCAATTTCTCATTGGCTGCTAACTTTCACGTTTCTTAACGGTAAAAAATGTTTTCTAAATAAATAAGATGAATATAGACACTATGTTTTCCATACGGTCGCTTGGTCCAAGCCGCTATGGACACCATAGTGTCCACGGCGGAGTTCGTTAAATGTATAGCCCAAATTTACATATCGTGCGGGCTAGAGCACTACTTCCATTCTGCCTTCAAGAATATCTTCGAATGCTGGTCGAATTCGTTTTATCTCGAATTCAAAGATAGCGCAGTTGAAGGATTCCTAGAACTTCATCACAAACAATCGCAGACCTCTTTGGATTCGACGTGGCTCTCTCCAGACAAGTTTCTGTCAGTTAGCCGACTGGATGAGAGGCTTGGTCTGATCGGAATGGAGTCGAACTCACAACCATACATGCAGTGTATGCCGTCTCTAATCACTGTTCCTCTCTTGGTAATATTTCTGTTGACATTTAAAATACGCGGCCAAACAAACTTTACATTCGCAAGACCGACTTTCTGTTAACCTCGGCATTGATTGATCATTCGATGTTTTTCTTCAATAAGCAGACACGAGGTTGTTATTGTAGAATTTATTAGGATACAACAGTTGACGTTTCGGTGGTTTCGCCTTCTTCAGAGCCCTTTATTTGTTGTAAGTATTTAAGTTAGTTGATGGATAGCAGCCGCATAGAGTAATACATCGGCGATAACTGTCTCGCCCCCTTCCTTAATGAAGTCGAATGAACGGCGCATCCTCAAAGAAATGATCAACGCCGAGCACTTCTTTTTATCCTTCAGTTGGAGGTTTTTCTCCGAAGGAAATCAATCGAGCAGCTTTGACATTGACGAAATTTTTAAAGGTGCCAGCTAAACTCACTCGATAACCAAGGAGATTAAAGGTGGTAAAGGCATGAAATTGATTTTGGTTGTTTAGTTTTTATTTTCTACCTATCAAATCTTCATGGTAGTATTATGAGAATTCACGTTCAGGCGGGTTCAATGCTAATTTATGCTCCCAGACCATTCTTGTTGACGGGTGACCGTTGATAGCACCGTAAGGCTAAAAACATGCTGAGAGGAAAGGAAATCAAAGGCCTACTTGGTGCAGAGATGATACGTGAGTCCCTTGAAAGGGTAGTCGTTGGTTCGAAACTCATCACCGAGGGTCCCGAATTTTGTCTATATCTGGTCATCATTGTGGTTGTTTTTTGGTTGCTTATCCACTTTTATTATGACTACCCATGAAGCGTACTATACTACAGTCTATGGAAAAATCCTGCAAATTGGATCTCTCTGCATGTCTCCATTATCGGCCAGTGAGATACAAAGCTCTCGCAGGCACCACCTGACCTATTTGGCCAGTGAACCCAGAAACAGATTAGAACTCGAACCTCACGCTCCTCAAATGAATTCTGGATTCTCCATGGAATGCATCTTTTAGGAAAGATTTCCATGAGGAACGTATCGCTCCAAAGTTCGCAATATTGCTTCTAAGACGGCATGGAAGTTATTCCAAAATATTGATCCACGGACAAATGCTGTTCTTTCGGAGCTCCTCGTAGTGGTTATGGTTCAAGCGCTTCATTGATAACCTCCTACAGATTTCGAGCTCCCCGAAAAAGATGAGCACTGTTTCTTATGGAGAGCGCGACGTTGCAAGAAGAGCGTTGCGCACAAACATCACCTCACTGTCAAGCGGAAGTACGAATGTACGCTGCGCAATGTTTGCGCTTGCGGTTTTTTCCGCAACCGGCAAGCCTCTCACGGAAAAATGACCGCGCCGCCTCCGAGCTCGGCAAACAGGTGGCTGGAGCCAACAGGCACTGACCCCGCCGAGCCTCACCCAGCAGTAGCAGCAGCTCAGTGCTCCGCAACAACCTCATCCCAAGCTCTACATCGTGCTCTGATCTCGACGAGAAAATCCTTCTCGTTATCGCTATGGACTATCGATAACGTAAAAGCAACTGGTCTTCGGCACTTGAAGCAACATCGCATCATTGCAGATTTACTTGGAAGAAGAAAGAACTTGTCTGGATGAAAAGAAGACCATATGTCTTCTGCATGGTTTCCAGCTCTAAGGGTTTTGTGAAATGTCAATCTGTTCCATTGTTAGAGAGATGTCCCCATAAGTGATTCGTAATAGGAATCTTTAACCTATTCGTCTCTATGGGTATTTTTTCCGAGGAGTTTCTATGGTGCTTCAAGCATGTCTTCCCTAGAAACTGATTCAGGATCCTTTTATACATTCTAGTGCCTGCAGTCGACTTCTAACAACGGAACGCTTGTGTTCGAATACGGTATCCCTAATGTAACCAGTTTCTTGCCAATTCATTAATAGTTCAGACTACCGCGATCGCTCTGGGTACGTTGACGTAATTCATCAAATCGGCATTTTAGGCTGAGTCCTGCATTGCCGTGGTAAATCTTCTTTAGGAGAATTTGTAAAAGCATTGCTCGCAAAAAGGACATTGAACGAATCATAATTTCATATCTCAGATCTTTTTCAGCATAGGAGTACTTAAGCAACGTTTGCTAAAGGGCCCGCCATACATGAAATGCGGCTCATTCTGCTCGTGCCGATTTCATCCTTCCTTCTTTTTCTGGGGATTTTTGAGATTCTTAATATCAGTTTCTCTATTTCCATCACCTTGTTTTCGCTTAAAGAATCATGATTCGCAGTGTGTTATACAGAAACTATTTACATCTCTTAGCCATTGAACTATTGAAGTTCTTATAAAGTCGAAAAGAAGGCACACGACTCCGTTGTTTGCTATTCTGTTACCATGACTAAATTAATACTTTGTAGAAGTTTGGCAGTTTAGTATTTCTCGATTGCCATTTAGTTTTGGTTGGCAATGGTTCTATATAAACATATGTATGCACATATATATACATCTATGTATATATATATATATGTATAAATGCATATACAGATGAATGATATATACATATGGGTCAAACGTATATGTCAGAATATGTCGGTTTGTACGTACATGTGTACGTTCATGTGTGCGTGCGCGTGTGTATGTGTATGTGTGGTGTATGTGTGTATATGTATGTATGTATGTATGTGTGTATGTATGTATGTATGTATGCATACATGTACGTATGTATGTATGTGTGTGTACGTGCATGCGTATCTGTCTGTGACTATCTGCCTATCCGACTACATCTGTTTTCGTCGTTCACATTGCTTTATTAAAGGTCCTTCTTTTTGGACTTCATATTGCTCATAAGTCATCCATTCGTTCTAACAGTCGTCTACAACTAACCAACTAATTTCGACAAATTCTGTGCTGATCAGAGTTCGATGACAGAGCTAACAGTGCAGTAGAGGACGGCGAGTGAATGAAACTTCATTTATATCAAATGAAATCGTTTTCATAGTGAACTACGATCAGCAAAAGTTGAGATATGAACGAGAACAAAAGAGCCCGTTTTCACCATTCACACTTCTGCTGTGACTGTTCGTTCCACTATTGAACGAACTTGTTAGACCTTTTTCTGCACTTTCTCCAGCTGTTGCACTTGCTTCCATTCGCTTTTATTTCGTCGAATGTTGAGCTGAACTAAATTCATTCACGGTGAGCGGTATATGCATATGTACAGATACATAGACACACACGCATACAATGGTCAAATAGATATGGATTTCGTAATTTTACACTGTCCTATCCCGTGGACTCGATATTTGACAACGCCTCAAATCAGCGGATCCACCAAAGTTCATTTGTTTCCTTCAGTCCGTTCCTAGCCTTGTGTACTAAGTGCTGAGCAATTAGCCCTTGATTTTTACAGTTTTTAAGCGTCCCGCAGCAATTCCATAGTGCTGCTGATCATCGGGGCTAGTGGGTTTTCCCTGTCGGCGAACTGCTATGTGTCGAACAGCGGCATATCATCCATCAGATAGGTTTTCGTAGCTGAAGAGCGGTCCAATATTTTCGTCTGGAAATCCAGGGAAGGTGAACTCTCTCAGAAGTAGCAGCTGGGAGATCCTGAAGAAAGTCTTTCCATGTTTCGCTGTGATGCTGAATCTCTGAGGGAGTTTTAACGAGAACTCGACGTGGTTAAAAATTTTCAAGCAAGTGATTCTGATGTTATCACACATGTGGAAGTTATTCCACTTGCCAAACTGTTATATCCTCTTGTGTTTGCGTCTTCCGTCTTTGCTTTGTTGCAAGAGTCAAATTGCAGTGGTGGATAGCTTTTTTGGTAATCCTGGAGTAAAGGTGATACCATAACCGTCGAAGGACACCTCGATCAGCTTTTCATACACTTTCCAGTACCACACCTTTCGATAATAGTTTTAGCTGGATCGCCATGTAGGGTAAAGTAGCTTATTCCCAAGATTATCTACTTACACGAAGATGAATGTGATTGTGTGTATTTAGCAGGCATAAGCGACAAGGAATCTATCTCTGAGCCATTTGTACTTAATTGCTTATAGCTTGCATATTAGAAGCGAACGAAGACTTCTTCGGCTTTGTTTGCATCGTGAAAACTCGTGCAACTCTTGGCCTCGAATAGTCCCCACTATGATCTTCTGCATTGAAAAATATGCATGATATCCTCACCTTTCTCTCCGATTTGCTTCCTAAGATGCTAAAAAATTAAAAATCGACTTTTTTTGTTGATATCGTCATGATTGCTTTTCAAAACTTTTCCTGCAACACTAAAAAACTCCAGAACTATGGTCGAGATGAGCAGTTTCTATACAAATTCAACATCGCCCACCTTTGATTTGGCGACGTTTCTCTCCGGAGCACTTCAGTTGAAAAACGACGGACAAATCATTAATAAACTGGCATTGTCATCAGAAACAATCACAGATGTAAGTGGCTTTTTTCTAGTAGGTTAGTGAATTAAAGTTTTCTTTCTAAGAAGTTAACGAATTAAAGAAAAAAGGGCGTGTGTGGCGCAGTGGTCAGAGGAGCCCTGCAATACACATAGGATGGATCCCGTGCACAAAGCTTAGCAAGCCTTCCATCCCTCTAGTAGTCGGAAAATCGGGACCGTACCAGGCTTATCTGCGAGGATAGCAGCACTGGCTCGATACATCGGTAGGCCACCGCGAGTCATTGTAAAGGCCAGATATGCAGTCGATCGTCTCCAACGAGGATTAGTGAAGTCGAATGCATGGCGCATCCCTAAGGGTTTCATCAACCCCGAGATCTTTAAGAGAAAGAAAGAGAGCTTTAAGTTAATGAAAAGGAAAAGCAACAACAAACTAAGCAATGTTATTGTCATTCCGGTTTCGTGTCTGCTACCGTACGTAGTCTTTCCAGAGAAGATAGTAAAGCTTTTAGATAAGTTTTTAGTGTCTCATCACTTCGGAAATTTAATTCCCCAGTATTGAGGGATGTGAGCTGAATAGTTCTCCATCCGAATATCCAGAAAACCTTGCACACCTTGAATAAGCTGATATGACTCTATTCATATTTCTTACGATGCCCAAAGTTCCAATCTTAAGGGGTACTGTAATGAGGTATTTACAGCATGCTGATATTATCAGATTCAAATGATCATCACTAAAATTTACATCATATTGGAAAAATTTTCTGACCTGGAATATTCCAAACTACAGAAGAACTACGCTGACAGTTTATTTACACTAAATTGACAAAGAAAGAGCAACTGTTTTCTTCTCTACTTAACGTTTCGTCTTTCCATCAGCTGAAGTGTTATTGCTTTGTATTCATATTACATACAGTTTGCAAACATAGATATCGCTTTGGATTTTTATGTCAGTTTATACAGCATTTGAACTATTGAAATAAAAATGAAGAAAGAGATTAACTTGGTTAAATGCCAGTTTGTGCTCCCAAGTTCATTCCTGTTGACAGGTGATTGCCAATAGCACCGTTGGAGTAAAAAGTGGCCGGGACAAAGACAAAGAGAACGCAACCGTTGCTGCAGTGGATAATACCTGCTCCACGGAGAAGGTGATCGAGGGTTCAAGCGCACCTGAGGTGCTGGTTTTGCTCATATCTCAGCATTCTTTCGGTTGTATTTCATATAATACTCTGCCATAAAAAGGAATAGGCAATAAATAGATCTACAAAAAAAATATTTAAGGTCTTTTTCCTCAAACCTGACCGTAAAACAGCGAATTAGAAAGCTTGCAACATCGACTTTGAAATTAATGAGTGGATCGTAAGGAAACTTAACATAGGAGTTTTTCTATTTTGCTAAAGGTTATGTTTGAGATGAAAGTCTTGATGACCATAGGGCTAAGTATCACTGCCCGTTGCCATCGATGATGGCAATTCAAGATATCAAGTGAACGTACAACCGTTCGAGAGCTCATGGAAGAAGTAACCGTTATCGCACAGGAACGGTTCCGTTAATTCGACAACCACATGAAACATAAAAGAAAAGAACACAGAGAACATTGCGCTTACCTAGAAAACTATCTGTTTCGTCGATCTACAACATTCTCCTTGAGAAGTGGATTCCGCAGGACAGCTGACGATGTTCTTCGTAATTACAATGGTCAGCAATGAATCACGAAAACCCTTCTCGACAAAATATTTACACCAGAAGAAGGTTATGACACCTTTTTTCCCTTAGAAGGATGGAGTCATGTATTAAGATGTCTTCAGTCGATGGGAAACCACTACTACAGAAGTGGAATATTAAAAATCCGAGAAAGTGCACTAGCAACTGCAAGGTCCGTAACCTGCATTGGTATTGAAAAGGACAGCGCCCAATACTCCAACACAGCCACCGAAATTGTTGACGTAGCACTCAAATCCGTTTTTCTCATTCTCATTGAGTAGATTTCTTACCAAATTTCTCGTCAATCGATAATCACTTTCTTACAAGTATTTCGACAATAATCTTGACCTTTCTATTTACTGCCTACTACACTTTTTGATTGATAGAGTAGTAGCTGAGAGAGAGGCGAAACGAGGGACCTGCATGGTGTGGCGGTGAACGCATTAGCCCCCGGAAAGCGTAATAGCACGTTCGTTCCCCACCGCATACACCTGCGGTCGGGAGTTTTGCAAGTGTCTCTGCACCAGCTTGGTTGCGTTTTGACAATAAGTTGTAGAGCCGATCATAAAGCACCAAGCTGCCGCAGAAGATGGGTCAAGAAGATTCGCAGATTTCAGAAGCCTAGGAATCTAACGTAGTAATTGAATAAGATAGTACTTCATTGGTAGTACGGTGATACGTAGATATTAGCGCTTTTTTATTCTGATTGAATACAATTGCTTTAATCTGCGTGACTGTTTAAAATTGAAAGTTAAAAACTTTATGAAAATCTAAAAGCAGAGAACTTTTTTTAACCCTTTTATTTACTGCCTTTTTCTTTTTAATGGCAGGGTATGTTGCGAAATATAACTCTTATATAATGCTGAGATATTTGCAAAACTCCGGACCGCGGGTGTATGCGGTGGGGAACGAACGCGCGCTGTTGTCTTCACCGGAGAGCAGCGCACTTCAGAGAACTTTTCCTCGTGTATCTCCTCATTATTGATCGATGCACTATGGAAAAAATGCTTTTTAATTCCCATTTAAGTTGATCAATAGGTCTGTTACATTGTAACAGTACTCCGATACAATTCTTTTGATTCCAGCCGTCAACGACATCGACGTCATCGTCGTCGTCGACAACGAATGAGGGGAGGAAGAGACGGCGAGGAGAGGTGAGAGGTCACGAATACCGTATCCATTCATATCAGGTCATCATGTCTAACTTTCCTCTTCATTAGAAAATTCAAATCGATTCAGTGATTTTTATTCCTTAATGAACAAAATTCTTTCCTGTTTGTGGGTAGGGAGAAGCTGACTGAATTCAGAGTTTGGTTTTGTTCCCTTATCGAGGACGATTTGTAGATGCTGGAGCGTCGTAGAAAAAATTAAGATTACTTTAGTGTACATTTGTTAGTGAAACGTTTCCTGACGTTTTTTAACTGTATGATTGCTTAATGTATTCACAAAGCGTCTGTCATATGAATCAATAAGTACGTTTTTATTGCAAACCAAGACCAATTTATCCTCCTCTCACTATAGCAAAAACCTAGAGCTAGGGCTAAACATATACTTAACAGAACCAACAAACGTAGCTAATATCTCGCAAAAACACTGAAGTGGTCAACAAGGCCAAAATTATGAGTCTGCCCATGTCCAGTGGGGCTCAATAAGAAGTTCTAGGGCTCATTGGAAACAACCGAACTTTACCGGGACCTGATCGGGATGCTCGTTGACTTAAAAATGGTAAAAGGATAACAGTGGTGATTAAAAATCATAAATTACGCAAATGGAATGCACATGGCCTACCAGTCAGCCATTTCATCCATGGAAGTAGTGGTTATGAAAAGTTCAAAATAATCATTGCTAATAAAAGGAGATTTTCTTTCGTTAGATAGCCACAATGTTGAATTCGATCAGTTTCTTCTGCATTACTTTGCCTAAACATCCTATGACTATAACAATCTGACTTAAAGAAACGTTACGAGTGGCTATTCAGTTTATTCATAAAAGACCGTTGTAAAGCCCATAAAAATTTTAGGTAGCCAATCCAGCTAACACTCTAGATGGTCTAGTTGCCCGTCGTGCTGATGATACGCTTGAGTCCTTTCAGAAACGATGTCTGAGCGAACAAGAAGCTATCGAAGGACCGGACGATGAACTTGAAGCCAATGTAATGACTTAAATATTTAAGGTGATCTGTAGAAAAGTGTTTCATTCCATAATTCGACCAGAGATTGACTGAATTTTTCCACTGGTGGGGACGCGTGTGGCCCTGCAATACATATGGGATCGATCCCCGCGCCCATGGCTACCAAGCCATCCATTCATCCGGGGTCAGCAAATTGACACCAGATTTGTCTGGGAGGATACCAATACTCCCTCGATACATCCGTAGGCCACCGAAAATCATTGTAAAGACCAGATATAAATTTAATCACCTCCGACGATGCTTAATGGTTGATGTCCAACAACGATATCTTCTGTAGAACTAAAAAATCCCAAATCCCACTTTATATTCGGTATGAATTTCATTTCCTCACTTTCGCAGTGTTGCTTCCTCAATCTTCAGTTAAAGCACGAATACTCCATGAAGTAAATGAATGATCAGTCCCATGTTGAAAATTGGTATAATATGGTAATCGATGAGGCAGACCCCTAACTTCATTGCGATGTGGTCCTTATCACTGCAGTATCCTATACCGGGAGATTTTCATGTTCCTGATACAGAGGTGTGTTTCTGAATTTAGGAACTACTCTAAATGTTCACGGTTACTATATTGAACAAAGACATCTACTTACCTTGTTTGTCCTACTCCGCCCAGTTGGTCCTAGTGTGAGGTCTTTCTGACGCAATACCGAGGTCAGTCAAAGCGTTAAGTCACAGATGTTTGCCTCACAATGTGTGCCTTAACATGACAGAGAAGTTTTGGGTTTTCTTTCCTTTCAAATCCAGTAACGGGAAGTTTCCCTTAGAACGATGAAATTTGGATTTACCAGAGTTCCGTGGGTTAAAAAACTCAAATGTCGTTGATTTTTAAGATACAAACAGATCTTCTAGCGTTTTCATGATTATGGATGACGAGTATCGTGAACAGCTGTGATGGCATCTGTGCTCACCATACTCGTCTCCTTTACAGCGAATGGAACGCGATCCAGACGTATCGACACGTATGTGTTCTGCTTGTGGTTATGTCGGCAAATGGATCTCAGAGATGATTCGTCACAAACGAGTGCACACTGATGAACGACCCTTCAAATGTCGTTACTGTTCACGAACCAGTAAATGGAAAGCGGATCTCATTCGTCATGTTGCCAGTGAGTTGTTATTCACTTCAGCACTTTACAATCATGCATTTTTGTAATTGTTTTTGTAATCAACGTTTCAAGAATCATCTAACCGCTGTACACATACACGTTTTGTTATAGAGCTGCGGTATCACCGCAGTTTTTGGGATTTTGTTAAACTCGGTCATGTGAGCATTATTTTTCACCGCTCGCAGTTTGCATTAAGGGCGACTCCTACGATCCGTTGTGACCGAAAAAGGAGATATAAAGTACTAAGTGAAGTATCAACAACAGTGTTTGTGCTACTCCACCGGTAAAAGATAAGAAATCGTGTCAGGACTCATGTATTTGTCAGAAAGAGCTAAATAACAGCAGCCTCATAAACTACAGCGGCTGTTCCGCCAAGAAGAACAAACTTCTCAAAAAAGTTTCTTATTTTTGGCAAATTATGAAGAATATAAAAGTTTTTTCTTGGGTGACGCTCGATACCGCATCCATAGTAACCGTTGCTTTCGATTGAATACAAAAATATGGCAAAAAACGCTATGTACGGAAAAATAAATACTTAGGATAAAACTCCGTGACGTTAGAAGAGTGCAAATTATTCAATCTGCTTGCGATTATATTAAATTAACACAAAGTGCATATATGACGCTAACTGTTCAGTAGAGATTTTTGCACTTCACTACTAACTCTTATGGTATACGACCTTCTGCAATGTTTTTGGTTACTGTGAAAAAGGGTGCGCGTGGGGCGGTGGTCGGAGGCGCCCTGAAACCCATACATAGGATCGACCCTCGCGCCCATGGTCCACCAAGCCTTCCATCCCTCCGGGGTCGGCAAATTGGTACCAGACTTGTCTGGGAGCATGGCAGCGCTGACTCGATACATCGGTAGGCCACCACGAGTCATTGTGAAGGCCAGATGTGCATTCAATGACCTCCAAACGATACTTAATAAAGTCGAATGCATGGCGCACCCTCAGGGACTGATCAACGCCGAGAGCTTTATCCTTTTTATCCTTTTACTGTGAAAAGTGAAAATAAGATTCTAGTCCATCTTCGTAAGAAGGTAAAAATCACCCACTGGGAACACCGTTTCACCGCCAGCTCAACTCTAGACGTTAGATTCAGGAGTCTGTTGGATATCCCTTCTCTATTTTCAGGTGGCGTTCTTTCATGCGACCTTAGCTTCCTTTTAGTTACCCGTAGTCTTTACCATAATCTTTAAAATGTCTGTTTATAAATATTGGCTCACTTTCTATGTTAAAGCTACGAAATAACATACAGTAGAAATTAAAGTCCTATAGAACAAATATAAATACAAACAGATTTTCTCGGAAAGCTACTCAAGTTCAGAAACACATGGAATCCGTGTCTTGTCTAAGTACAGCCGCTCAAAGGCGTTCGATCACTCGTTAATGAAACACACGAAGAGAGACGACGCTGACAAGCCGAAGGTGTTCGCGTGCGAATCCAAGGAAGAGCCGGATCGACAAAAACAGGTTGGACATACTCTAATTTAAACGACAGATTCGTACTTCACATAAATCGCAGTGGAAAAAGCGTGGACTAAACAAAAAACAGTCATGTCAATTCTCTGCTTTCTCTATGATGCTCAGATATTTGCAAAACTTGGACTCGAGGCCAGATCATCCCCATTGATAAGTGACTAGTGATTCCACCGTTAGGTAGAAAACTGGCTGAAAGAAAGGCAAAGCAAGGTCCTCAGTGGTGCGCTGGATAACAAGTGAACCCCGAGAAAGGATAACCGAGGATTTTAACCTTGCTTTTGGTCTACGTTATGCAAAGATCTCAGCATCATAGTGGTTGTATTTCACATTATGTCATAGCGTGAAAGAATAATAAGAGGCAGTAGATAAGAAGTAAACAATCTGGTTTCTACTTCCTCTTTTGTCAGTCGGTATATGCTCACATGGTCTCGCGACTGGTCTCGAGATCACATTGTCTTCTATTTTATTTCCTTTTCAGTACATTTTCGCCATCCCTTTGTCACATCTCTCCTACGTTACTCGTCAACAATGTTACTGAACGAGAATTTGAGACTACAGTATTCTTATCTAAAAATGAGTTGTTCAGCTGTTTCCACTAACGATTGACGCAGGTGACCCAGACGCGAATCGTCCAGAACCATTGTTACATGGAAAGATCCCACTCTCATACAAATGCTCATATTGCCACTTTGAACAAGTCAGTGTGTAAAATCCTTTCTTCATCACGTTTATACTGTCAATATGGAAATGACACTCGCATCCAACTACGAAACCCCAAGTTCCATTTCAGCAGTAGGAAGTATAAAGAATTGAGTCTTCAGAAATAGTTGAAATCATTAAACCCTTTCAATACACTGGAAATTGAACTCTTAAGGAACCTTGGTAGAACATGCACGGTCAACCAAATAGCCTACAACAATTTTAAAGGTGGATTGTGTTTTCTGAACCCTGCACCCGCTGTAGTTACAGCTACTAAACAGCACATGATTGTATCTTTCTTTTTACAAATGTTCAGTGTACCTACTTACTTAATAACTGCTCGGTGTTCAAAAGACCAAATCATTAAGAATCGTTTGGGACCCAGCATAATTCCTATTTGGTTGGTTACCTGGATTCCCTGGCTCAGCAAGGTTTTGTTTCTCTAAAATAGAAAGCTACTCTGGGCGCTTTTCTAAGTTACATGCATTTCCCACCTAGAAGAGGTGTTGTTACTGGAATGACATTGATTTCTCTCACTGATTTACTCATAAATGTGATTCTGGGAGGAAATGCCGCACTCCTTTCTCAGTCTGGGATACCGTTCGGGAAGAAGGAATGCTCTCCAATCTCAGTGGGGCGGTAAACCAGTGCGTTAGTGTCACCGTACCAAATATCGTGGAAAATGATGCAAGGGTAGAAAGTACACATAAAAGTATTACTTATGAGTTGGATTCCTTGACACTTTCTGCATATTGTGCACTTCGTAAAACAATGTTCAGACTGGTCACTCGATGCTGGTTCATCACCTGCGGACTGTACACAACAAGAATCCCTATGAATGTCGCTGTCGTGCTGCGTTCGTATCCATCGGCAGCGCACTGAGTCATGCTACAACGTCTAAGAGTTGTTCGTCAGACGATCTGGTGCTCAACGTTATCCCAACCTATGCAAGCAGAAATCGTAAGTCGTACCGAACATCAGCAGTAAACTATTCTTTGGATAGTAGAGCGTTCGTAGTCGATTTACGTCGTATAATACAAAACATGGGTATCGACTACATAACACTATAGTTTGATGATCCATAGTTGTGTTTCATGGCGATTGTTCACAGTAAGCCTTATTTCATGACTTACCCATTAAAAATCCAACATCTTTTTGTAGACGTGCTCAACACATCACCGAGTGATTCGTTGAGTCCAACAAGATCTCGTAGTGACTGCTCACCAGACAGCGGTGTCCAAGTTGATCTGGATGAAATGGAGCATGATCGTACCTCTATAGCTCGTGGAAGCACATCTATTCGTGATTCCGACAACGAAACCGCTAACATTGGTGGGATCTTCACTACAATAAGTATGGATGGAATGGTCCAACATAGAAACACCAGCAGTATTTTCAGGATTACTGAAGTTACCACTATTTGCTGCAGCAACTTCCACCGCCACACCAGTGATATCGCCAGTAGACATTTCAACGGTCTTGATGGCTCTTCAACTTCCTCTTGTACCAGATTATTTCGCAGCAATGGTAAGTGTTAAAACAAAATTTTTAACAACGCAATCCGAATTGATGGAATTTTGGATGCGGTGGAATTCATGGGAACAAAATAAGGGACATGTGTGTCTTGAATATTCTCTGGGTTTGAAAAGGTGTTCATTGATCTGATCTCCCATCGTGGGACAATC